GGATATTATTTGTCAGGATTAAATATTAAACTTTTTAGAAGTAAAAAGAAAGTTTATAAAGTGAATCTATTTGACTATGGTTAATATATAGGTTGTGATTTCTGATAGTTACCCATAGGATTTCTTTTTGACCAGGACTGAAGGACGAGATTTTTAGGATTTGCATATAACTGGGGACAGATTTTTTTTTTTTTTGGCTTTATTTTTTAGATAAAGTGATAAATTGGACATAAAATGGATTTTTTTGGTTAAGGTTAAAATACATATGTTATTATTTCTGATAGCCCTAAATGGAATTTTGCTGATTAGGATTCAAAGATGAGTTTTTACAATTTGATTATTGATAAGAGATTAGATATGGGAAGAAGAGAACTTTTTAATGAAATACTAGAGAAGGTGTTAAATTATTGAAACTGTTGATAGTTGTCTGGAGGGAGGGGGGAGTCACCTTTTATATATCTTCCTTTTCTTTTCTTTTCTTTTTCTTCTTTGCAGTTCTCTTTTTTTCTTTACTCTATAATGTTCTCTGTTTGTATTAGTTTTTTATCCTTGTATTTTAAAACACTAATACAAATTATTATAAAAAAGAATTTCCAACATAAATTTGAAGTACCTTTATACATTCTAGATAATTTTTCTGATGCAATATATAAACAGTACATCATTTTATAAAAATTCTCTCTTTTTTTGTCAAATAATTTTTATTGAGTTTCAGAATAGAATAAAACATAGAAAAATCAGACAGAAAAGAAAAGAAATAACAAGAGCAAAAAAAGTACAAAAAGAAGAAAGTAACTTCCAACTTTCTTTGATGCAGGTATAAGTATAAAATACGTTCACTTCTTACTCTAATATTTAAAAATCTTTTACTGTAACATTTAAAAAGGTTACAAAATAAGCCTATATCAACTATAAAAGGATTAATACAAGATATTTCTATAGTTATAGAATAAATGAGTCATCAAATCCCAGAATCAAAATTTCATTTTTTTGAGTATCAAGTAAAAAGTCCAAGAATGGTTTCCAAGTAGAAACAAAGCTGGACAATGTCCTTTCTTTAATCAAAGTAGTCAGTTTTGCCATCTCCACCAATTCCATTAATTTCAATATCCATTCTTTAGCTGTAGGTATTTGTAGGTCCTTCCATTTTTGCGCATATAAAAGTCTTGCTGCAGTTATCATATAAAAAAACAAATTTCCATATTTTCTTTCCATCTGTTTATCTATCATATCTAGAAGAAAAGTCTCTGGTTTCAATTGTACATCCATGTTTAACATTTTTTGAATCAAAGGACATATCATGTCCCAGTATTTCTTGGTTTTTCACAAATCCACCAGAGATGATAAAAAGCACCTTCATACTGATTACATTTCCAACATACATTTGAAATTCCTTTATACATCTTAGACAGTTTATCTGATGTCAAATACCAACGGTACATCACTTTGTAAAAATTTTCTTTTAAGTTAAAATTAAGAGTGAACTTCAAACCTTTGTTCCACACATTTTCCCATTGATCAACATTATATTATAACCAAAGATTTTTGCCCACTTAAACATATAGTCTTTGATATATTCATCTTCCAAATTCATCTTTAACAAAAGTGTATACATTTTAACAATAATATGTTCATCATTAGTATATAAGGCATATTCAAACTCAGTTTTCTCAGAGGTAAAGACATAACTTTTCTTGTCCAGTTTAAATCTTTCCAACAGCTGTGCATGAGTAAGCCATTGACAGATATAACCTTCCAATTCTAATTCTTCTCTCTTCTTCAAATTAGGCTCTCCTTCAGAAAATTATAATAAATTTGAATATGTCAGCCATGGTTGTTTAAGTGTCATTTCTCTTCTATAGGAAGCTTCTTGGGGTGATAACCACGAAGGAATTTTTGGAGACGATCTTACGTATATCTATTCCAGACTCTCAGTATGGTACATCTAATAAAATGATTCTTAAAATCAATATTAACTTTTGCTTTGTCATACCATAAATATCCACACCATCCAAATCTTAAATCAGATCCTTCTAGCTCCAATATCCTCTTGCTTTTTAAAGTCACCCACTTTTTCATCCATACCAGACAACAAGCATCAAAGTATCACTTATATACAGAAAACCTAACCCACCTCTTTCTTTGACATCTTGTAAAAGTTTATATTTTTTTCTTGGTTTTTTACCTTGCCATACAAATTTAGAAATATCTTTTTGCCATTGTTTAAATGGTATACCATGTGTCAATACTGGTATTGTCTGCAAAAGAAAAAAAAAGCATTCTAGGTAAAAAAATTCAAGAAGGAGATGTTACACTTACAGATAATGCAAGCATTCAGAAATCCTTCCATAATTTTTTTTCAAATTTGTATAAAAGACAAGATGTTTCATCAGAACAGACTGATGAATATTTAAAGAAACAGAATTTACCAAAACTCTCACAATCTCAGAAACAAAGTATGAAGAGTCCTGTGACTACTTTTGAAATATTAGAAGCTATTAAAAAGGCTAAAATAGGGAAAGCCCCTGAACCAGATGGTTTAACAAACTTCTATTACAAATGTTTTGAAGATCAACCATTATTGCCACTCAAACAGGTGATGAACTCTATTTTAGGGTGTTCTGCAATGCCAGAGACCTGGAAAGAAGCTAACGTAGCATTATTGCCAAAGTAAGGCCAAGAGTCAACTATAACTAAGAATTACAGATCAATTTCTTTGTTAAATAATAATTGTAAACTTTTTACATCAATATTAACAGAGAGATTGAAGAAGATTTTATTGGACTTTATACATGAAGATCAGTGTGGTTTTTTACCTAAAAGGCAACTGAGAGACAATGTAAAAATTGTATTGGATATAGTAGATATTTACAGCAACACAATGAGAAACAAGCATCACTGATTTTTTTGGATGGAGAGAAAGCCTTTGACAATTTAAATTGGAAGATATGGATTTTGGTGAGAATTTCCTTCAAGGGATTAAACTGATATACACTTCCCAAAAGGCAAATATTATTGTTAATGATGAGTTAATAAAACCTTGTGAGATACAGAAGGGGACAAGACAAGGATGTCCTTTGTCCCCTTTACTTTTTATTTTAGTTTTGGAAGTGTTAAATAGAGATATTAGACAAGATGTGAATATAAAGGGCTTGCAAATCAAAAAAGAGGTCTATAAATTAAGAGCTTTTGCAGATGATTCGGTTTTGATTATACAGGAAGCTCAAAATGGAATTGAATGCTTAATGAAGAAATTAAAAGATTTTAGTATACTAGCTAGATTTAAGGTAAATAAACAAAAACAAAGATGTTGGTTAAAAATATGACTATACCTGATCAAGAAACGCTGATGAAAAAGTCTAGTTTTAAAATTGAGAAAAAGATTAAATACTTGGGGATTACATTGACTAATATGGATTGCATGTTGTATCAGAATACTTATGTCAAAGTTTTGAATGATATCAAAAAAGATTTATTGAGATGGGATAAGTTACAATTGTTACTGTTAGGTAGAATTTCAGTAATTAAGATGAATTTTTATCTAGAATGCTTTTTATTTTTCAGACAATAAAAATTCTCTTTAAGATTATAACATAGTGTAAATTTCAGTCCTTTCAGTATTTTCCCCTTGTTCCATCTGTACCTTATAACCAAAATTTTTATCAAACTTTATCATGCATTCTTTAACTTGTTCTTCTGTTTCAAATTTCAGTAAAAGTTTATAAATTTTAGCAATCATATCTTCATCATTTGTACACAATTCTGTTTCAAAGTCAGTCTCGCGCTGTTCAATACCATAAATTATTTTATCTACTTTAAATCTTTCTGATAACTGTAAATAAGAAAAACATTAACAACTATGTCCTTCTGCCATCAGTTGTTCTCTTGATTTTATTTTGCATTCCCCTTGACAGAATTCTTATATCTCACGACATGTTAACCATTTCTGTTTGCCTATTATTTCTTGTCTATAGAATGCTTCTTGCGCTGAGACCCACAAAGATTGTTAAAGATATTTTTAAAGGTTGTGAGTCATTACAAAAAGAAGCTGGAGTTCCTAAAAATACTCAGTGGCAATGCATCCAACTAAAAGATTTCTTTTTCTGATTATTCTAGCAATTAAAATAATAAAAATATATTATTTTAAAAAGGTGTTAGTGGTGGCATATTTCTTTTCTGACATGTTCATCGAGTTAGTACAAGGAAGACCCCATATCCTGGACATCCTCAAGGGGCAGATAGTGTTCCATTGCAGTAAATCTGCATTGAGAATTTCCCATTTCAAAGGGTCTAAACATAGATAGGTTTATATCCTCTAGACTAAATGAGGCTCCTGAGGCATCTCTGTCTCCAGGTAAGTGAAATTCCTCCCAAACCAAAACACAGCACAGAGGTACCATCGAAAACTGTTGTGAATGCTAAATTGTATGTTCTGTGGATAGCCAACATGACTTTCCCATATCACTTATAACAACATGCCATTTTATTAAAACACTACTTTTACTAATGTAACCTCAGCAAAACAACAAATTGCTACAGAAAAATATGCAAGATGAACTTTAAAAAACAGTGATCAGCAATTGACTTCAATTAGTCTCCAATTTAAGAATAGGTTCCGTTCCCAAGATGTGTCCTTAAGTTGAATTTGTATGTAACTCAGAACTGTATTATTAGAATATACTGTATAAGTAGTATTGTGTAATTAACTCAAACTGTTGTGTATTTATATTGAACCATTGTGTATTTAACTCAAATTTGGCTACAATAGGCTTTTTTCTTAACTATGGGTCATCTGTGAACTGAGCATTCTTAACCTGGAGACTACTCATATGTAGAATATTGTAAGAAGTAGGAAGGAAAAGTAGTTTAGAACATGTGTTATCCTTAATGTTCCTTAATATCCAGAAAAGCTCTCAAAAACCTGCTGCATTGAAGTGATTAAAGGTAGAATGAATTTCTTAATGCTTATATTTTCAATCTCTCTTCTTTCTTCCTCCTGATCATTGAACACAAGTGTCCACTGAACGTTTAATGGCTTTTATAAGGGGGGATTGATCCTTATTTCTCAAGTCCAAATACAAAGACATTAAATCCTTCCCTTTAATTTCCCCAACAAGATGGAAGGTGTATTTCTGGAGCAGAGTGCTGAAGAACAGGAAGAGCTCCATCCGAGCCAGGGCCTCCCCTGGACAGGCCCACTTTCCTGCAATAGCAAAAAAGAAAACAAAGCTTATTTGGGAAGTATACTTGCTGGAATTGTCACTGATAAAAGAATAGCATGGAATAAGTAAGCATGTTACTTTAGAACACATCCAATGCCTTCCAGAGGACTCTGCCTGCTGAGAATGGCATGAAACCATCTCTTCTCCTGAACTGGCCCTTTTCATCCAAAAAATGATCTGGGTTGAACCTCTCTGGAGTCTCCCACTGGAAAGGGTCAAAATGTACAGAGGTGAGCACTGGAGCGACAGCCATGTACTAGAGGGAAAGGAAGAAACAGACTGATTAGTTGGTACTACTTCATGCGGAGAAGAAAGAGCTTTCAGTTCTCACTTGCCTAAAATAAAAGCAATAAGTGAGTACCACTCTGCCAATCCTCCATGAACATGGAGGGAAGGCGTAGTCATTTCTTTTAATATATATTTCTCTGAGTTGCTCTTTTATTCAAGCTGCCTCAAATATGAAGGATCTAAGTCATTCTTTCTTTTCTTCCCTAGAGTACCTTCATAAATAGTTGTATCACCATACCTTGGGAATGTTGTAACCACGGAATTTTGTGTCACAAGTTGTTTCCCGTGGAAAATTCTCAAGCATCCCTTTCTGATAACGTTGAAACTCATGGACAACTGCATTAGTGAAAGACATCCTCAAACGGTCTTCCATGTTTGGAGTACGGTTTGTACCCACCACCTCATCAATCTCCTGTTGCACCTTAGCTGTAATTTCGTGTGTGTGTGTGTATGATATATGATTCTGGAAGTTTGAACCTGCTTATTCACTGAGAGCAAAAGACTTTTTCTTTCTCATATTTTTGTACCTGCAATCAGTTTTCTCTCTGGATAGAAGCATATTTTTTCAAAGTGCATACAAAGATGACAGTTCTAGGCAAAATAATGATTCTTTCTCCTCAGAAATCATTTCTCGATGGAAACCATATCAACTCTTGAAAGCAGTATCTGGAAGAAGGCTTTAAAGGTATTTTCACAACCAATTATATACAGGTTAAAGAGGATTTTAAATTGCTTAATAAATTTTGAGTCACTTAATAAAATGGATTGGCAAAGGTTTCAGTAAATATATGGGCCTTCTTTACATACTTGCTGTAACAAGAAGTATACTGCATACCACATAGCAGTCTCCCTCAAAGGGCTCTAGTGAACTTCATGGACATATTCTACTACAGTAGTTAGAAAATTGTGATAACTAGACAATGTTTTTATCTTCAGAAATAGTGAGCCATCTTCTGGGAAAGTATATTGTATTTGTGACTCTTCTTACAGATGATTCAGAGGCATTTAAATGGCGCTGCTGTTGGACTATGCCAACACTCCATTTGATGCAACTTGAACCAAAGTAGTCTTAGATTTAACTCCCCTTTCTTATGAGAGTATGACATGCCTGTGTCTTTGGAGAACCCCAGGCTTGAGGATTTCACCTCTGAACAAGGCATTTTTTAATTGTCTCATTTTGGTCCAGTTATCCAATTTTAGGTGCCTAGGCATCTGCTAATAAAAATGTGTACACACATCCATCTGAACGCCCTGGCATTATTAATCTAATAATTTATATTTAATTAATACTAGAATTCCATAAAGCAATTGTGAATTAATTCAGTTGTCTGCTTTGTCCTATCCTTTATAAAAGGGAGCTTAGACTGATTCAAAAGCCTTATGAAATCTCATTTTCTAGAAGATCTGGTGGAGGATCCATGAATTTCCCAGGGCTGTAGGCTAGACTAGAAAATTGAATAACATTCTGGAAGTGTCAAACAAAACTTTTGACATTGCCAAGACAATTGCATAAATGCAGTTTCTATAAACAGAGCTTGACTCTTTGTTTTTTTATTTTATTAATATCATTGGTTTATATGACCACCAATCACACTAATGCAACTCTGATGTCAGGCCCAGCCCAAGAACAATGATGAAACAGTCCAGTCCAGTCTAGTCCAGTCCCTTTATTAGCTTACACCTTATAGACAGGATCTTGCCAAACTACATCTACACTACAGC